CCATCATAAAGTAACCCAGCCCTCCGCTGTCCTGGCCGTGTCCTCCCGGCCCGCTGCCGGCAGGGGCACAACCAGGGACCAGGTGGCCTGGAGCCGGAGCCCTGCAGGCAGATGTTAGCAGGGGGTGTGGTCTACATGGAAGGGCGGGGCCTGCCGGGAGCTCCCACATATCCCCACCCGACCCTAGGGACCTGGCAGAGGGCTCTGTGTGCAGCTGGACCCACCTGATGGGGTGAGCGCCCCGCTGGAGGGGGGCTTGACCCAGAGGTGAGTGGTCCCCAGGGGCGCCCTGGGCCTGGACCTCCTGGACCAGTTGCTCCGAAACCGCTGGGGCCTGCTGCGTCAGATGCGCTGCCTGACCCTGTGGGCTGTGCCAATCAGCACGACCGCTTGAAGTGGTTTATCGCAGAAGCTGGAGGGAATGGCCTGCAAGTCTGTCACACACGTGGGTTCCTGCGGCAAGGACAGGCGGGGACCTGGGGACCTGGGTCTCCAGGGCCACACGAGAACGTCCTCTGCTCGATAACCATGGCAGGACCTGAGGAACCAGAGCGTCCAGCCCCAGAGGGCGTGGGGAGGATCCACAGGACACGCGGGGGCCGCCAGGTCTGGAGGGACGCCCAGGCACGAAGAGCGAAGTTCTCCCCTAGCTCTGGGCCCCAGGACCCCAGCCAGCGAGCGAGCACACAGCAGGGCCAGTGCCAGTCGCACCGACCGGAGGTCACATCCTGGTGGTGGTGCTGCCTGGCTCACTGTCCCCACGCCTCCCACTTCCAGTCTCGGGGGGCGGGGGGGGCCATGAGCCTCTGCTTCAGAGGGATAAACCCTGCTGGGCACCAGTTTAGATGCTGGTTCCCCAGAACTTGGGGAGTGTCTGAGGCACCGCCCCCAGCGCCGGGACAAGGGCCCCTCTCCCCTAGATGCATTGTCCCCCAGCCATCTTGGTGGCTGACAGTCACGCCCTCAACGCCCACTGGGACTGGGGTACATGGAGACTGAGGGAAGGTCAGGGCTGCAGCTAGCCCACATCCAGCCACGTGGCACCTGGTGATTCTTGGCCCCTAGCTGGAAGCCCATTGGTGAGCAGATGTGCCAAGGGACCCGCACCTGGAGTAGGCCCACCTGCCTAGCATTTGCCCCAGTGGATGTGTCACCCCTGAAGTGGCCATTGCTTCCAGCCCCATCACAGACCTGGTCCCACAAACCCCTGTGGGAATTGCCCCGTTCTTGCCCTTTTCACCCAAGCACAGCCAAATCCACCTGCTATCCACTGCCCCACCACCTCCCACCTCTGAACCCTGTGCACCCTTCTCCCCCGCTCCCCTCAAACACTCAGCTTGGCCTTGAAGAGCCTAAACACCCCTCCCCCGCAGCTTCCAGCCTAAGGTTTGGCCCAGGGACCAGAGCAGAAGGTTCTCTCCCAGGACTTCCCCTGATGCCCTTGGGGCTGCACCAGGCCCGGGGCCCAGATATCCAAGTGAGGTGCTTCCTGCCTCCAGGTGTGCCAGCTGAGGCACCATGAGGCCCTGCCAGCCCTCCAGACCCTGTGGGCATGTGCAACATGCCTGACTCAGTGTGACAACCATGTGTGCCTGTGGCAGCCACTGCGGGGAAGGGGCAGCACCTCACGGGCTGACGAACCTGAGATTGACCTGGAGACACCATTCTCAGGTTGGTCAGTCCTGGAGGCACTGCCCAGGGGCAGCTGGCAGAGCCCTCACGGGCAGGTTTCTCCTCCTGGACCCGCCCCTTGAGTGTACCAGTAGCTTCTGAACCAGTATAGGAAGTGGCTCCAGGTCTGCCTCTTGCCCAACTGTCCCCTCCCAGGTTCTGTGGATATGTCCAGGCTGCAGCCCCATCCTCACAGCTCTCTCTCTTCCAGGTGAGAGAGGCCCAGATGCTCAAAAAGGCAGCTTGAAGGCCACCTGGCTCCCAACCTCCAATCGGTCCATCAGAGGGTATCTGGGGTGGGCTCATCCATCCCTGAGGGCACCACTGAGTCTTCTCCTCAAACTGGACTCTCCTGATGTGTCCAATAGCTGTGTTGGGTGCTGTCCCCTGGACAGTTTTGGACCTTGGACCTGGGAGGCTCCGAGGTGCCAGAGGAATTGCCCCTCCTCCCATTGGCCCCCAATTACCCTCCGCCATGACTGTCTGGAAGGTGATGCACTTCCATCACTCCAGGGGCCCCTGGTAAGAAATGAGCCCAAGAGTCTCCTAACCTGTGGCCAGTCTCCCTGAGCTGCTTCTGATGAGGGGACCCAGCTGCAGGAGACAGGCCCCCACTGACCCTCCAGAAGAGGGAGGAGGCTGTCTCCCCCAGGGGGCAGGGGCTGGGGGGGACAGCTGCACCCTCTCCTCCTAGGACACGTGTGTATGCGTGTCTATGGGTAGATGCGGCTACTGCACAAGCTTGTCTGGTAGTGTCGGCACGTGTGTGTTTGTTTTCTGGGAGCTGGTCAGCCCCCAGCTGGACTCAGGGGCCCACCCAGGAATGACCTACCCCTGCCCGGCTACTCTAACTGTTCGCCCCAGTCCTCATCTGGGAAACCTGGCTTGACAGAATGGCGTCTTCCCCGCCTTGTGGCCCTGTCGCACCTCCGGAGGGGCTAGGCCTGCCGCAGCCTCCAGGTTCCCAGCGCACAGCACAAGAACGAGCGAGCGAATGAATGGGGGCCGTGGAGACACAATGGGGCGAGGACAGACTCACCAGGTTCGGAAGAAGCCTTCCTGCTGACCTTTGGGCCCCAGCTCGGTGCTCTGTCCCTGGTGCCTGGCCACCCCTTAGACAAGCCTCCTGCCTTTATCTGCCCACCCTTGGCCTGGCCCCCACCCAGTGACTTCCTGTCTCCGCCCCATGACAAGCTTTTCCATTACATGGCCTTTGTGGGGGGCGGGGAGACCAAAGACACTGGGGGACAGGAAAGAGGCCAAAGCCAGGGCGGAGGGGGCGGGTGAGGGCGCCGGAGCCTGACAGCTCACCTAGAGTGGCCCAGACATCAGTATCGTGCGCCCTCACCCAGGCATACCTGCCACGGGCCACCTGTGAGGAGCCAGGAGCAGCGAAGGCAAGCTGCACAGAGTGAAGGACGGCTGGCCCGCTGAGGCCCTGGCCTGGCCACCTCTCCTGCAGCTGGGGATCTGGCCAGTGGCTAGGACCAGCTCATCACTCCCTCCTACAGCTGCCCGCACACTGATTTCCGCTGGCCTCCTGCCTAGTACACACACGTAGGCGGGGAGAAGGGTGGGGGGCGGGGTGCCTGCAGAGGCTGCCTCAGAGACCCAGGGCCCTAGGTCCAGGCCAGGTGGCTCATCTAGGAGAGCCAAGGCCCCAGCTCTGCCCTCTCCTAAACCTGGCCCTGAGCCTGTGGCAAGGACAGCCTGTCCTGTGGAGGAGGCCGGCCAGCCCTGGCCAGGGTGCGCAGAGGACAGTGCCCCGACTCCACCTCCCCATGGCTGCCTTGCAGCTTGGGGATGCAAGCAGCCAAGCAGCTACAGCTCGGGGGCCATGCCCAAGCCCAGTCCCAGGCAGAACAGCACTCCCAGGCCCCCAGCTTATTGGTCAGAATTTCAGTTTTTCTAAAATTTATTTATTTTATAAAAGGTAGAGAGTAGGAGAACCAAGATGGCGGCATAAGGTATAGACCTGTGTGTGCTGCCTCCCACAACAACATTGAAACTACCAACTATAAGACAAAACAGCTATCATCCAGAACCATGGGAAAGCTGGCCCAGTGGAAGTTCTACAACTGGAAGGAAAGAAAGAAGCGCATTGAGACTGAGTAGGAGGTGCAGAGGCACCAAGAACAGAGGTATGGAGGCGCACTCCAGGCGGGCTGCAACTGGATGCGCGGTTTTTTTCAATCGGAAGGGTATACAAGCTCTCGAATCCACTGAGCTTGTTTGGGGCGGGATTCTGAGGTCCCAGACCCCTAGGGGGAGAGGCTGGACTGTCTTGCAGCGAGTCGGAGAGCGAGGGTGGCTTTCTCGCGGAGCTGCTCACAGGGATCATTGTTGCCGTGGGGGCGCGGGACTCTGGGATGCGGAGACACAGAGTCGCAGAGACGCTGACGACAACCATTGCTGTTTGCTCCGCCCTGGTGATTCCCGGGGACCCCGCCCCACTCAATTTACATCCCCAGCCAAGCTGTGTCAGTGGCACAAAAGGAACCACCTGCGCTTTTGCAGCCCAACCCAACAAACTGCAGATTTCAACTCCTTGCATACATAAGGGACACACTCAAGAAGCAGACTCAGGTTCGGAGGAAGCCGGAGCCGGACCCGGCTGGGCTGGCGACATTCAAGGAGCCTCCCAACAAAAGACAGAATGCCAAACTTCGTGTTGATCAGTTAAAGTATGATGTCCAGCACCTCCAGACGGCTCTCAGAAACTTCCAGCATCGGTGATATGCAAGGGAGCAGCAGGAGAGACAGCGAGAGGAGCTTCTGTCTCGCACCTTCACCCCCAACGTGGGATGCGGTGCCCCCTGCGAGGCTGCGTGAGGCTGCGACGCCCCCTGCAAGGCTGCGTGAGGCTGCGATGGCCCCTGGGAAACCGGCGGAACCGCACGAGCCGCCCAGATGGCTTCGTCGACGGCCCGCGAACCAGCTCGCAGCCCAAAGCACAACTATCACCTGAAGGGCGAGAGGGGCGAGGGCAGCTGTAGTGTTGCTTTCTCCTCACTTTTGGTAGCGAAATCCTCATTTTAAACATAAGAGGACACATTATTTTAAAAAGCCATTACGTGGCTCCACACCCTTTCTGAGTAGAATGTGAACAAGTCGTGAGAGACCTTTCTGAGCACAGGGACATGTTGCGGATGGAAATAGCTACATTTTCCATGTGTATGACCTTTGACCCCGGCGACAAAAAGCATACACCTATGGATGAGGACAGTGGGGGGGAGGGGGGTAAGGGCAGAGGGTGGGGTGAGAACTGGGTGGAGGGGAGCCATGGGAGGAATAAAGGGGAACTATAATAATCTGAACAATAAAGATTTATTAAAAAAAAAAAAAAAAGGTAGAGAGTAAGTTATCCTGGTAGCATTTTAAACTGGAATAAGTTCATGTCTGTACTCTGCAAGCAGGGCCAGGAGGCAGGAGGTTGGGTGGGGATGCAGATGGAAGAGACGCGGCTAGCTAACCCATGGAGGCCGCCTCCTCCTCATCGCTGCCTTCGGGGATGGCATCAGTCCCAAAGTAGCGGTCACCGAAGTTCCCTAGAGAAAGAAGCAGACCCTTATGGTGGGGACTCGGGCCCCCTGGCTCCCAAGCCCCGCTGACTGGCCTAGGCAGCCTCACCGATGCCGGGGATGATGCGGAACAGGTCATTGACACGCTTGTCCACGGCCGTGGTGATGATTCTCACGCGTGGGAACGCGTAAGCCACCGAGTGAACACCCATCTCCGCCATGAGCAGCGACAGCAGGAAGATCTTGTCCTCGGGCACGTCGTGGTCCTGCGCCAGGAGGGACAGGATGGGGAATCCCGGCCCCGCCCCGCCGCCCGCAGCCGCCCCGTCCACTCACCAGGAGCACGCGCACAGCCATCATGGCCGCGGCACCCGTGGACACGGTGCAGTCCATGAGGATCACGTGGTCATCACTTATGTCCTTGGGCAGCCGCAGGTAGTGGAGCTGGTGGCAGCCAGAACGTCAGAGGCCCCAACCCAGGGCCGTGCCTTAGGCCCCGCCCGCACCTCCGGCGCCCCGCCCGCACCTCCGGCTCCCCGGTGAGCTGGTTGGTCTGGATGAGGATCGTGCCGATGCGCACGTCCTTGCACACCGCCCGCAGCGCCGGCTCCATGGTCTCCCCCGCCCGCAGGATGGACACACCAGTGATCTGAGGAGGACGGCTGAGCTGGACCCCGCCTCACAGGCCACCCCAGCCCAGCCCAGGCCCCTGCCCCACCCATCTGATACCTGCTTCCCTGCGTAGCACTTGCCGGCATAGTCCTGCCCCTGCGGGGTCTGCACGACGCAGTCCTGCAGCACAGAGGTTGGGGGCGCTGATGAGCACGAGGGGCCGCGCGCCCCGCCCCCCACCCAGCCCTGCGCACCTGGAAGGGCAGGAAGGACAGCGCGTGCTCGATGAGCAGCCGCATCAGCCTCTTGGAGTAGAAGATGAACTCGTCCCGGCTGGTCTCCTTGTCCCTGTGGGCCTGGGCTTCAGCAAAAGGCGCCCCGCCCGCCCTGCCCGCCGCCCAGCGAGCGCCCTCACCTGATGATGGTGTGCATGCCCCGCACCTGAGGCGTGCTCTTGAGGACACTCAGCGTCCGCGGCAGCGGGTGGCACTGGTGCGCCGAGGCCAGCGCGGCCCTGGGGGGACAACCTGCCTGAGCGCTTCTCCCACAGCCACCCTCCCGCTCCAGACACTGCGGGCTGAGCCGCCGCCTCCCTGTTCATCTGGAGGGAGGGCCCTGGGCTGAGATGGCCCCGCCCCCTCAGGGACAAGGCAAAGGTTAAAGGACAGGAAGGCAGAGCAGCCGACCTTTAGGTAGGAAGCCAGCTGCAGTGGGAGCCTCCCTCTCCGAAGCTGGGGCCGGGCAATGGGCGGCCTCAGCCCGACACCTCTCCCTAAGGCAGGGTGGGCAACCTCTTCCCAGCCAAGGGCCACATGATCTTTATAACCTCATTCGTGGGCCATACACAATTATCAACTTAAAGATTAGCCTGCTCTGTTTGGTCGCACATGCAATTAACTCACCCCTAATGCCTTGGCAGGGCCAGACCCCATGATTTTGAGGGCCAGATACAGGCAGATGTTCCCCACCCCTGCTCTAAGGGAACAGCTGAGCTTTGGGGCAAGCCCTGACCCTTCCCCCCAGGGGATGTGAGGCCCCTCAGGAGAGGGGGACAAAGCTGGCTGAAGCGCCCCTGCTGCCCCATGCCTGGGGGGAGCGGGGAACAGGAGTAGGGAATGGGGAGGGGTCAGGGGGAGCCAGGGGGAGGTGTGGGCAGGAGGGGAGGGGAGAGGAAGGGCAGGCAGGTGCAGCCAGCACAGCCCCCGCATCACACCAGGTACTGCACTCGTCCTCACATATCCCAGCGCAGCTTCCTCTGTGTGCCAGGTGAGGAGGTGCAGAGCATGTCGGGGAGGGAAGGGCAGGCAACCCCAGGTTTACAGAGAGGAGGAAAGAACAGAGAAAAGACCACTCAGCAGGAAGCACGGGCCCTGCAGCCAGTGGCCTGAGGAGGAGCAGAGGCCAGAGGGCCAGGACCAGACGCAGGAAGCCCTGGAGGGCGACCCAGGATGTCACCCCGCCCCCCACAGGCAGCACCTCCTGGCTGCGGAGGTGGGGGCGGTGCCAGGTCCTTGGCTCACAGAGGAGGGGAGCTGTCACTGGCTGTGCTTAGGTGTTTTCTCCGACCGGAACCCCGGAAGCTGTTTTTCTCAGAGCAGAGGCTTGCAGTGGGCCTGGCCCAGGAGACCGCGGGTGCCAGGCCCACGTGATGAGCCAGGGACCACGCAGTGGCAGCAGCGAGCCGCTCCAGCACAGTGGAGCTTAGGGGCTCTGAGCGTGGCCCTGGCCACCTCTCCTGCAGCTGGAAATCAGCCCAGCACGTCCTGACTCCACAGAAAGCAGGTCACTCATGCTGCCCGCTGTGTGGGGACAGGACAGCACCCCAGGACTCCCTGGCTCTGTCTGCACACTGGCCCCAGGGTGGGCAGGGGCCAGAGGGCTGGGGCACTACCACCGGGGCGGTCCGCCCTTCTGCTCAGGCGAAGGAGCCCCAGCCCTCTGGCTGCTGAGGCTGTGCCTGCGGCTATTGCCCTGGAGGCTGGGCAGCTGAGCCTCTGGGGTTGGGAGGGAGCCTCCAGGGAGGTCTGGTCAGCCTAGGGTGACCTTAGACAAGTCCCTAAACCTCTCTGTGCCTTAGTTTCCTCATCTGCCCAAAAGGAAAGGCCACCACACACCCCCTTCTGTGCCTGGACCAGGGCTGCCGAGGGTGGGCGCAGCAGTGAAGACAGCCCCGGGTCCTGGCGCTGTGAGTGCTGGGAAGGCCTGACTGTGTGGACAGGTGCGGGACATCTTACCTGACACTGAGCTCGCGCTGCGGCAGCGACAGGAGACAAGGGAACAGTGCGTCAATGGCAGCAGCACACTCACCTCGAAGTCACCAGACAGCCTGTTGCTGCCGTGTGCCCCACCCAGCCACTCCCCCAGGAATAGGCATGCCACATGGGAGGACAGTCCCAGTCACCAGAGAGGGCCAGCTCCCTAGAGCCTCTGACCTGGGCGTCCTCTGACCTGGGCAGGCAGAGCCTCAGGTCTCAGCCCAGAACATGTGACCTTTGGTCGGGGCCCCGCCAAGGGTGCTCAGGACATGGGACTTGCGCCAAAACCCAAGTCCCTCCAAAGGGTAGGAGGGACAGGAATGGCCCCTTCTGGGCAAGGCTCAGCTCAGGCTGGGAGCACCAGGGCGCACCTGAGCCCCACTTTCTCAGGGAACCTTGCTGTGTCCACAGCACACGGGGCTGACCGAGCAGGACTCTGTGACCACGTGGGGGCCGCTGGAGCAGAGCTATGGGTGGTGGGGGGGGAGGCCCGGGGGGCGGGGGGCCCGGCAGGTGGGACACAGGGCCTGGCCAGCTGCCTCACCTCCTCCAGCTGGCTGTGCACGTGCTGGACGATCAAGTCAATGGCCACTGTGTTCCCGCTCCCTGGATGGGAAGGGCAGGAGGGTGACACCAGCGGGCGGGTGATGGCGGTGCATCCCACCCGCCCCCCACAGCCTGCTCACCTCGGGGCACCACAATGTCTGCCAGGCGCATGGTGGGCTGGATGTACTGGTCGAAGGCTGGCTTGACGAACTTGTTGTATTGCTTGATGACACCTGCGATGTCGCGGCCACGCTCACTGATGTCCCGGCGAAGCCGCCGCACAAGGCGGATGTCAGAGTCCGTATCCACAAAGATCTTCATGTCCAGGAGCTGGAGGGGAGCAAGCCACTGCTGGGGAGGCTAGCACGAAGAAGCCATGAGGCCATGTAACTAGAACCCGGCTCTTGCACAGACCAAGAGCAAGCCCGGCCCCGTGGCCCATGGAGGGTCTGGAGGGCAGGGGTGCTGTCAGCCAGGTTTGGTCCAAGGGCACGGGTTCGACGCTCCTCTGGGCAGCCTCCCTCACTGATGCCCTCACACTGGGGACTGGGGCTTGGTGAGTCTGGGTCTGTCCCCACACTCAGCTCACAGCAGGTAACCCCTGAAGGAGCCATGGAGGATGCTAGGGGTAGCGGGTTCCTGGGGCCTGAGCCTCGGAACTCCCACAGGAAGTGCACAGTGGCTGTGCGCACAGCCTCTGCAGGGCCAGAACAGGCAATGCCCAGGAGCACCCTGTGCAGACCCACAGACAGACACCAGCGTGCACGTGAGCCATGCCACCCCCCAACGTCACCGTGATCTTGGCGACCGCAGGGACCCCCGAGGACAGCAGAGAGAACACTGTCAGGAACCTGGTGTGTGCAAGTGGGGACAGAAAGGAAACCAAGGTACCAGCCCAGAGCTTGTGCCCAGGCCCAGGAAGTGTGGGCCCTCGGGCTGCCACCCAGGGCATTTCCATCTCTGTGGGTGGCAGACCTGCCCTGTCTGCTCAAACCCATGTCCTGGACCCCCTCTTGGGAGAGGGCCCGCTCCTCACCCGACACCCAGGGACCACAGAGTGGATGGAACAGGTGACCCTGTGCCACGGGACAGGGTGACAGGGCCTGCCCAGAGGAGGCATTGAAGGCAAGTCTTGTGGGAGGGCGTCCCGGCAGGAGGATGGCCTGGAGCCCGCCCTCACCTCCAACAGCGTCTTGTCAGCAAAGGCCATGATGCCCTCGAAGATAATGACGTTGGCACCATAGAGCGTCTTCTGCAAAGGGAAGGAGCCTGTGCTGGCGCCCGTGCCGGCCCGTGTGCCCAGTGCCCGCACAGCCCAGCTGCTGGGCCTACCCAATCCTTCTTGCGGCTGTGGGTGGTGAAGTCGTAGACCGGGACCTTGACGCTCTTGCCCTGCTTCAGCTTTTGGAGGGTAGACACGATGAGGTCGAAGTCGAAGGCATCCGGGTGGTCGAAGTTGTAGTTGTGGAGGGCAGCCTGCTCCTGCTGCTGCTGGGTGAGCACCTGTGAGGAGAGCAGGGGTGTACTCAGGGCGGGGGGGCTGCAGGCCCTCGGCACAGCGGCCACACGCCGGGGCACCCCTACCTTATAGAAGGAGTCCATGGACAGCAGGACCACCCAGGGCACGTCCAGGGCCTCGATGATCATCCTGGCCACAGTGGTCTTCCCAGAAGCACTGCCACCACCCAGGCCTGCGGGGAGCAGAGAAGGTGGGCCGCATACCTGGGTCCCGGGGTGGACGGGGCCAGGAGAGCCCTTCCAACCAAGTCACCACAACTGGAAGCCCGACCGCTGCTGCTGGAGAGCACCCTGGCACTGACGGCGGGTCCTGCCCAGCCCACCCGGTGGGGTGACAGGGAGGTGGCAGCCGACTCACCGATGGCGAAGGCCTCCTTAGACTGTGTGCCGTGCTCATTGTACCAGGGCGGCCGCCCCGCCGTGTAAATGGTGCGTTTGCTGGTGCGCAACAGGGGCGGCTCGGATTTGCACTGGCTGGTGGTGCGCTTCCGCGGCGAGTGCCCAGTGCCCACGGGCGGGAGGAGCCTGTCCAAGGCCTCAGCGCTGCTGCTGCAGGAAGGAGAACAGCTCGCTCGCCGGCCCTGTCACCAAGCCCACCACCACGCCAGGCCCAGGGTGGCCGTCTCTATGCAGGCACGCGGGCATGGCTGAGATGGCACACAAAACCTGCCTGCTGCCCATCCACAGGGCCCATGGCCTCAGTCACTGTTCACACAGGTTCAGAGACACAGCAAACCACAACTTCCGTGCAGGGGGAGTGCCATCCACGCCAAGGACAGTGATGTGGACGGATGTAGGTGGGAGACCCCTTGGGGAGGCCACTGATTCTCACCCTCGAGCACCTGCCAAATGCAGGGAGGAGGGCGGAGGCCCCACAGCCCGCAAGGTGGCAGTTCCGCCTGGGAAAGGCAGGTGGCACCTGTGCCCAGCTCTCCCCATGCTGCACTGCTTGTGGGAGGCACATCCTGGCCTCAGGCAGGGCTCCAGTGTGGTCACTGGCTTGAGGCCCCAAAACCAACAGGGATGGCTTCTGGGGAGGCCCGGGGGGCTGAGCGGCCTGGCTCCACACCTGCTCAGGAAAGGCCCAGACGGACGGGGACATAGCAGTTGTCCGGGACATGAGTTGGGCGAGAAGTAAACTAAGATGTTTATGTGAAAACCAGCATGTGGAGATGGCCAGCCCATGTGCCCTTCGGGTCTGCGCATGTGAGTGGGATGTGCATGCGCACAACAAGCTGGAAGCAGTGCCACGATTGCCCTGGGCACCGAGATCTGGAACAGGGATTTCTGCCCCATTTGACTGTCTACAAGGACGTGCCCCTGTTATCAAACAGCAGACCAAGTCATGGTCTGGACTGAAGCTCTGTCCTGCTGTCACCGCTACAACCCGCAGTGCCAGGTGCGCCTGTGCGTGTGCTGGGGGGGGCAGCAGAGAGGTGAGCTGAGGCCCTGCACGCGACAGGCACACGGACAGCCTCGAGGGCACAGAGAACAGCGTCCGCACGCTGACAGGAGGCACGCGGCCCCATGGGGGGCGGGGGCAGAGAGCCGTCCGCATGTGGTGCTCAGCAGCGTCTCTGCGGGGACAGCCATTACCTTCGGGTCCGTTCAGAACCCGGTGCTAAAGCTCGCCATGGGGTTGGGCATCAAGATGACCCAGTGGCCAGGCAGGCCTGGGGACAGGCCACAGCACCACCATGGACCGTGAGCGCCTGGGGAACTCAGACTGGCATGGACCAGCCGCCCTGGAGACAAATGGTGTCCCCAGGCCCCGGTCACCCTGGAAATGGCAGACGGAACCATCCTGGCAACAAAGAGGCCCCTCCCCTCTGTGCTTTCTACTCAGGGAGGAAACCCCGAGAAATTACGGTTTGCAAAGGGCAAGACCTGGCCAGCAAGGGCGCACCGTGCTGAAGATGGCCTCGCAGAACGGACCCCGACAGCGGAGGCCAGGGCTGGCACCACTCCTGTCCCTCTGCTTCTCACCCCAGGCTGGCAGCCTCTGGGGGGAGCCTTCAGGTCCCTGCTGTGCCTGCTCCGCATCCTACTGAGGTCATGATGACCACCGGCAAGGACGACTTCCGAGGCTGGTGCTGCCCCGGGACAGGGAACATGGGCCAGGGTGGCTGCCAGAAATCGCCGCCTTGGCGTGCAGGGGCCTGCAAGCGTCAGGCGGGTCTGCAGCCAAGCCCAGTCCACGGCCTTCTCCAAGCCCAGCTCTCTGGGAGCCAGGGACAAAGCCTCACTGTGCCCTCAGAGCGAGCCGTGTCATAGCGGGACCAATTTCGATAAGGGAAACTCGCACAGACTTCGTTTCCCTGGTCACAGGCGGACAGAGCACGCGGACTACGATGACAGGGCATTTCAGCTACAGGACTGGGGGACACAGACCTGCCTGCAATGAGCAGCCCCCCCGTGCCTGCGGGTGGTGGGCCCTACCCGCCCCAAGCACCGGCCTGGCTCCTGGTCCCTGATGTGCAGCGCCCCCCGCAGGAATCGACCGAGATGCAGGGGAGGAAGGGCTCTTCACCACAGCTGCAGACAACAGTCCTGCCACTCACCTGCCTTCTGCTCCAAGGGCCCAGCACCCTGAGATCCTGATGCCAGGGTAAGCTGAGGGGCTGCCCATGGCTGGACACAAGATGATCCGAGGTGTCTGCAGGGGTACCCCACACTGCCTCAGGCCCACAGCAGCCCCCTAGGACAACCCAGGAACCATGTGAGCTACCCCTCCATGGGTGGGTGGGCAGCCAGCGTGAGGCCAGACCCCTGGCTGCAGAGGCTACCCACTGGGAGGCAGGGAGCTAACAGCTGGGAGCCCTCAGGCCCCTGTGCCGAAGGAACAGCACTCACCACCGGCCCCAGAGACGAAGTCACAGGCATAAGAGGATCACGCGGCTGGGGCTGTGCACTTGCCTGATATTAATAGCACTGACCCTCCTGGAGAACAGGCAGCCTCGGGTGTGAACTGCCCCCTGGGTCACAGGCTGGCACACCGCTGGCCCAGGGCTGGGTGAGGACCACCGTGCACCCCCTGAAATGCCCCAGGAAGAGCTTCAGACCCCGGGCCTACCTGGAGTTGCAGGGCCACCTGCCCCCAGCAGAACAGGGACATCTGAGCTATCTCTTGGCCAAGCTAAGGTGAATGTCAGTGCTGAGCCGGGCGTACCACCCGTGCCCAAGGTGCCTCCCAGAGGCATAAACAAATCTGAAACTCTACCCGCCTGAGCCTCTGAGAATAACTGCCTGCCCTGCCCTCCACAGCGAGGCTCCAGCATGTCCCCCATGGCACCTGTGCTCGGCGCTGGGGGGAATGACACAGCCAGGCCCGCCTGGCGGCAGGAGGAAGAGCCATTCGGAAAGGGTGAGTCGGCTAAGGGAGCTCTCCTCCAGTCTGCACAGGGGCTGCCCACAAGTCCCGACTCCTCCCTCGTATCAAGTCACTGGATGTTGCTGGCTCTCCTCATTTGTTTTAATCCTCACTAAAGGATTTTTCCATTGATTTTCAGAGAGAATGAAAGGGAGGGAGAAGGGGTTGGGAGAGAGAGAGAGACATCAATGTGAGAGAGACACATCAATTGGTTGCCTCCCTCACGTGACCCAACTGGTGCTGGGATGGAACCTGCAATGGTGGTACATGCCCTAGATTGGAAATGGAACCTGAGACCTTTCGGTCTACAGGCTGATGCCCCAACCACCGAGCCAAACCGGCCAGGGCCAGCTTTCTTTCCTCCTGACTCAGTTTCCAACAACATCCCTAATAGCTGCCAGAACCTCACCGGAGAGAAAATTCCAGATAGGGCTGGGTTCAAACATCTGAAAGGGGCCTCTCCTGCCTGCCTAGGTAACGTGGGTGGGTCTAAACCAGCCGTGGGCAAACTACGGCCCTCGGGCCAGATCCGGCCCGTTTGAAATGAATAAAACTAAAAAAAAAAAAAAAAGACCGTACCCTTTTATGTAATGATGTTTACTTTGAATTTATGTTAGTTCACACAAACACTCCATCCATGCTTTTGTTCCGGCCTCCGGTCCAGTTTAAGAACCCACTGTGGCCCTCAAGTCAAAAAGTTTGTCCACCCCTGGTCTAAACTCTACACCCACCAGAGGCCTGTCCGTCTTTGCCCACAGGAGCTTCCCTCCTGACCCTGGGCGTGGGCAGATGGGGGGCTGGCCCACACTCAGGGAGGCTGGACAGCACTGCAGAGTTGGGGCAGGCACCCAAGGCTTCCACTCCTGCCTGACACCCCATCCCGGTGGAGGGGAGTTTGCTGGGGGAGTAAAATGAGGCCAGGGGGTGGGGAGAGAGGGGGGCTGGTTCACCAGGGCCCGGCTCAGGGACAGAGGGTTCGGGGTGTCTTTCTCAGGGCAGGTGCAGGAATGGGGCTGCAGCCCCGCCCCACCACCCTGGAACCCCTGGCAGGACCCCTCCTTCCCAATGCTCTGGGCCAGCCTCCCTGCACCCCACAGCTGCAGCCCCAACCCCACCTGGACCAAACCAGGACACAACCTGAGAAGGCACTGCCACAGGTGCCCATTTCTCCACCAGCACATCCAGGGTTAAGGAGTCCGCGTCCCTGTCCTCATGGGGCTGACCCTCTAGGGCAGTGATGGTGAACCTTTTGAGCTCGGCGTGTCAGCATTTTGAAAAACCTTAACTCTGGTGCTGTGTCACATATAGAAATTTTTTGATCTTTGCAACCATAGTAAAACAAAGACATATTTTTGATATTTATTTTATATATTTAAATGCCATTTAACAAAAAAAAATCAACCAAAAAAATGAGTTCGCGTGTCGCCTCTGACATGCGTGTCATGGGTTCGCCATCACTGCTCTATGGGCACAAGAAATAACGGCAAGGTAGACAGCCACAGGGGGGCCACAGGTGGAAGGAGATGGGACCGTGGGCAGGGAGAGGCTCAGGGACACTGGACTCCAGCAGAGCCAACTCTGGGGCCCTCCAGGGTGGTGCAGGGACTGTAGGGGGCCGTAGGCCTCAGCGTCAGGAAAGAGCGGTGAGCAGAGCAGCGCCAGGGCAGAAGAGCCCTGCAGTCCAGTCACTGCCCTCTGGTCCTGGGTCCCATCCTCTGTGCACAGGGCAGGGCCCGGACAGTAGCTGCCACCAACCCGTCTTCAGGGGGTGCTTTTCCCGAGAACTTGCCTGGCCCTGCCTCCTCTGATCTGGGGCTAAATCAAAGATTATTTGGAACCAGCAGGTGTCGCCGACAGGTCCTATTAGACCCTGTCAAGCCATACCCAGCTCTTAGTCGCTGCTCACTGGGAGGGTGCGAGCCCAGGAGGACACATGCTCCATCAGGGCCGACACTCCGGCAGGAGCTGCCAGGGCGGGGCGGCCGGGCCTCATTCCTCTCCCTGCAGCACCCAGGCTGCCCTGGAGGGCTCCCTCCCGTGACGGCCCATCCGAGCCCAGGAGCCCAGGCTGAGCCCTCCACTGAGCCTTCCCCAGGGCACAGCTCCGACCAGCAGGGAGGCCAGCCTGCGGGCGCGGGCGCGGGGCGGCCAGCACTGCTCCGCATCGCCCCCTGGTGGCGCGGGCCGCAGAGGCACCGAGCGGGAGCCAGTTTTCTCTCGGCCACTTCTGCCTCCCAGCAGCCAGGCTCCTCCCCACTGCACCCACGAGGACCCCTCGCGAACCCCTACAGAAGCCTCGAGGGTGTCCCTCCGCCGGGCGGGACAGTCCGAGGGCCATCCATGCACCACCTGACCCCCAGGCTCCTGAGCGCTGGCCTCTGGGGGGGGGGGGGGGGGCGGGGGCGGGCGTCAGGCAGACACTCGCGGCAGCCCGGTGCCCGAGGCCCAGCCCCTCGGGCGAGAAACCCGTTAGCCTCGGGGAGCAGAACGCGCTCCATCCGCCCAGCCTTCGCTGAGCGCCCACCTGCAGGCTCAGCCCCGCGCCCGCCGGGGACCTCCCACCGCGGCCGGGGACCCGAGTGCGTGGGTGCGGTGGGTGCGGGGAGTGCGGTGGGCGCGGGGAGTGCGGTGGGCGCGGGGAGTGCGGTGGGTGCGGGGAGTGCGGTGGGTGCGGTGAGTGCGTGGGTGCGGTGAGTGCAGGGCGTGCGGGGAGTGCGGTGGGCGCCGGGAGTGCGGTGGGCGCGGGGAGTGCGGTGGGCGCGGGGAGTGCGGTGGGCGCGGGGAGTGCGGTGGGCGCGGTGAGTGCAGGGCGTGCGGGGAGTGCGGTGGGCGCGGGGAGTGCGGTGGGTGCGGTGAGTGCGTGGGTGCGGTGAGTGCAGGGCGTGCGGGGAGTGCGGTGGGCGCGGGGAGTGCGGTGGGCGCGGGGAGTGCGGTGGGTGCGGGGATTGTGTGGGTGCGGTGAGTGCAGGGCGTGCGGGGAGTGCGGTGGGCGCGGGGAGTGCGGTGGGCGCGGGGAGTGCAGGGAGTGCGTGAGTGCGGTGGGCGCGGGGAGTGCGGTGGGCGCGGGGAGTGCGTGAGCGCGGGGAGTGCGGTGGGCGCGGGGAGTGCGGTGGGCGCGGGGAGTGCGGTGGGCGCGGGGAGTGCGGTGGGCGCGGGGAGTGCGGTGGGCGCGGGGAGTGCGTGAGCGCGGTGGGTGCGGTGCGTCGGTGCGGGGAGTGCGTGGGTGCGGTGGGTGCGTCGGTGCGGGGAGCCCGAGGAGACGGGGGCCGCCTCGCCCCAGCCCGCGGCAGGGCGGGTGCTCGGGCTCCCGCGGCCGCCCCTCCCACAGCGGACTGAAGGGACGTGCGCGACCCCGGCCTCCGCGCCTACCGGTCCTCGCAGGCGGCCTCGCTCTTCGCCACCGTTCGGTCCGTTCCGTCTCCGGCCACGGGGGGCGGCGGGGACGAGCGAGGAGCGTTGGCGGAGGCCGGGGGCGCCGCCATGGAGCTCCAGGCCTCAGCGCTGACGAGCGGGCAGGGTGGGCCGCTGGAGCCGCAGTTGGGAGCCTGCGGCCGCGTCCCGCAAACTACAAATCCCACAAGGCTATGCGGCTGGGTACACCCCTCGCCCCCCCCCCCCTTAGGCATCGTCAGCCGGGAAAGGACCCCACCCCGCGTGTTGCCACAAATTCAGCCCACACAGCCCCTGGAAAACCATCAATAGACATTTATTTGATACAGTCATTTTTAATACATACAGTTGATGGCCCGCCCGTGCCACTCGGGGCCTGGGGGCGGGGACGAGGACCGGGACAGACGGTCACGAGGTGAGCAGGGCCCGAGCTCGCCGCCGTCAAAACATCTTGCAAATAAACACTTTGTAGATAGAATATATGTGTATATATATGGTTACAAGGGATAGTTGGAACCTCTCTTTCAAAATGCACTTATGTACGGAGAACTGGCATTAAAAAAAATAAACCAAGAAACCCAAAGTAAGGACGCGTGTCCGCCAGGCGGGAGGAACTGGCCGGCCCCCTTGAACCTCAGTTCCAGGACTAGCCTCCTGAGACCGCAGAGCGAGGACTCGTGGGGACAGCCCTGCCTCCCGCAGGTCAGTGCACCCGTCCATTCCCTTCTGAACCAGAGGAACAGGGGGGCGGGGGGGGGGCAGGCTACAGCTGAGGGCCACCAGTCACATCAGGAGACACCCTCATCCATCTGCCTTTGCACAAGCAAATAAAGTGCATCCTATTTTTGTGTGAAGTGTCAGCCCTTTCCTGTTCTCAGGGCAAAGGGGTGGGCAGGGCCAGAGGTAGATGTTCAGAAAGGGACCCGGCACTGTGCCCTGGGCTGGGTCTCGGGCATAGTCCGTGCCTACTGCACCCTGGAGTCTGCCACTCTGGACCCTCTCACTGAAGGTGTCAGCCAAGGCCAGGTTACCTGGCCGTGTTCCTGCCAGAGTGGAGGTGGGCAGATCCTGCTGAGCCCCCAGGGCTCTGCCCTGCACTCAACCACCAGAACTGGGGTGTAGGGAGCCGGGTCCAACCCACCCGCCGCTTTGGCAGCAGCCCCCACACCCTTTAGAGACAAAAAAGGGGTTAAAGTGCTAAACATCAAGTTATCCAAGACCCCACCTCTTCCCACACATCTGGGCGGGGGTCCCACTCCAGGGGCTATCTGTGGACTTTGGAGGGTCACCTGGAAACACCCCCCAGCAAAAACCAGCCCCTCACACCCCAAGGGACAAGTACCTGAGAGGCTGGGGCAGACGGCTGTCCCCAGTAGAGGTGCTGAGGTCCAACCTCCTCCAGCCATTGGTGACAAGGGCAGAGAAAGTGTACCTGGGGCTCCTGTCAGCGCCTGCTTCCCCTCCCCTCCTGAGGCTGCCCTTGCAGTGGCTGTCTGACCCACCTCCACCGGCTCCCCACCACAGTGACACCCAGAGCCCAGCCCCTGTGCCCACCTTGACTGACACTGGGTCACTCCCATGTGCCATGTGTGCGGGTAGGAAGAATCCACATCTCTACACCCACTCCCTATACCACCAGGCCAGGCTGCCCAGGGTCAGAGCTCTGGACAAAGAAGCCAGAGACCGGCAGCACAGTGACCTGGCCCCCAGCCCCTGGGAATTTGTCCCCCTACTGCAGGGCGAGGAGAGCCCAGACCAGCTTGGAGCCCCTCCTCTCCAGGGCTGGGTGAGGATGGCAGCTTGAGGCAGAAGGGTGCCCAGTCAGTACTGCCTCCCTGAGCAGAGGAGGGACCCCTGGGACCCTAGCCCAGTCCCCAGATCCACCATTGGCACCAGGAGACCCTTAGCACCAAAATGTCAGATTGTTGTAAGGTTTTGTATAAAAAACAGAATAAAAAAAGGTTGTTACTTGTCACAGCCACAAGACTGGCATCCACTACACACCCAGGAGAAACAAGCACACAGGAAAGTATCAAAATTCACATCGTCCAGGATCGGCAAGGCCGAGCCCTCAGCCCACCCCCACCCCCTATGGAAAACAGCCTCCATCCAAACCCAGTGACTCCGAGTGTCCTCCTCCCCAGGCAACGCCACAGCTGGCAGGCGGGGCCCAGGGAGGAGGCCAGAGGTGTGGACCCACTCCTCCAGGTGCCCTGGACTCCAGCCTGAACCCTGCCCAACCTGCAGGTCTAGCTGTCCTCAAGGCCCCAAAGGGAGCCAAGGCAGCCCCGAGCTCCCATCAACCTACGGTGACCTCAGCGAGCCCCTCGCTGGCCTTCAGCTCTCACATCAAAAGACCACGGCAACCAGAAACAAAGGGGCAGGTAAAAACAAAGGGTGGGGTGTTCCCTCAGGAGCCTGGCCACAGCCAGGCCAGACCAGCAGTCAGGCTGCTTCCTGCAGTGCTCACGCAGAGCGCAGAGCGGGGCTCAGTTCCCTGCCCAACACGCCCACGGCCCCAGGGCCCAGACTGGGCTATCCCTAACCGATCAGGCGATCCCAGCCAGGCCCACAGTGACGGCCAAGCTAGAGCGTGCTCCTCGTGGCCCCAGCTCCTGCTGCCCTGCAAGCAGAAAACCAGAGGCCCTCCCTTGCCCCAAGCAGGGAGTACCGCTGGGGGTGGCAGAGAGCCCGGTGGCGGGGCCACTTTCTCCCCACCAGGATGGACACAAGCCAGTGGGTCGGGCCCAAGCACAGCAGGGGTCACACCGGCAGGGAGGGTGGGCCTGGAGAGGTAGAGAACAGAAGCTGAGGAACCAGAGGCAGGAAGGGTGAAGGGGTCGGACCACCAGGTCAGCACGGCAGCGATCAGACTCAGGGTCTGTCCAGGGAGGTAGCTGGGGGTGCTGGGGTTCCAGTGTTGGGTAGAGAGGCGAGGCTGCTGAGTTACCTTCATCAGCCCAGAAGCAGGGACCCCGAGCCTTGGGCCTGAGGAAGCAGGTGGGGCACGCAGCACTCATGGCCGGGGCCAAAAGGCATCTGGCCACTCTGCACCACCCCCATGGCACGGAGGCCCAGGCTGTAGGCCCTCCCTCTACCCCTCCAGGCTCTGCCCGGCCTGTGAGTGTCCCTCCAGGCAACTGCACTTCTGTGACTGCCACTGGCCCTTCTCAGGGAGCCCCAGCCCAGGTGTGCCTGCAGCAACCTGCAAGGGGAAGGGCCACCTTCAAGGAGCAGAGCAGGGCTGGCTGCCCCACTGGACAAAGGGGTAGGCAGGGATGGGGGTGGGGAACTGGAGGGCAGGGTATCCCAGAGCTAGCTACCCCACTCTGGACAGAGGAGGGCTTGGCCAGCGTGGGGGCAGGCCCTGCCAGCCACCATGCTCACTTCTCAGGTGAATTGCTGACTCCCACCTTCCGGCCAGTGGAGTCCTGGGCCCCCTTGTCTCTGCCTCCTGGGGGCCAGTCCTCCTGGCGGGGGGCCATCTTGGGTGCAGGCTCCTCAGGGAGCCGCTCCTTGGGCCTGCGGCCCCGCTTCTTCCCGCCTGCCAGACTCTTCTCCTTCTTGGGTACCAGTGATCCCTGGCTCCTGTGTTTGGGAGGCGAGTCTGCCGAAGTGCGGAACCAGTTCTGGGGAGAGACAAACAGCCAGAGGCCCGACAGAGGGCGCTGAGCCTCCCAGCCTCGGGAGCCGAAGCCACTTGGGAGAGAAGCACGGAAAGCACCAGGTTTTTCCATGTTGGCCTCTCACTCAACATCACCCCCACCCTGCCGCCCAGTCCGTCCAGGCACAGGCCCCGGCCCCTGGCACAGGCTGTGCCACCCACCTCTGCGTGGGCCTTGAGGATGTGGTACTTGACGCCACTCTCAGAGCTGAACTCCTTCGGACACAGCAGACAGCGGTACTTTCCCACCAGGTGGTCTCCCTGCAAGACACGGGCAGCTCAGCCCCAGGTGTTGGACAGGACTTCCCCACCTGCAGTTACAGGGAAGGTGGCCCTGGCTTATCTAGACAGGTCAGCCTGCCCCTTGGTACCCACGGGAGGAGCCCATGGGCAGAACAACTTGGGACTGACTCATGTCTGTGGCTGGGGGACGGCAAAGGTCACGGAGCACCGGCTGGTCCCTGGGCTCCTGGAAGAGGCAGCCCGAAAGGCAAGGGCGTATGTCCCACGTGTGGGTCCCGGGGGCACTGCTGAGCACCTGTCCACATGATGGACAGCCTGGGACTCACCTTGCTGCAGCTGGCGAGGTGGGCCTTGAGGCCGGACACACTGGAGTAGATGGCTTCACAGCACTGGGCAGGAGACAGTCATGGGGAGGACCTCCCGGCCGCGCCCCCACACAAATCATAGCTCCTCCCCCATGGAGACTTGTGGGCGGGCTGGGCCTCTGGGGCTGAGGTCGAGGCCTCTCTGCCAGCAGGGTTCTGTCTGAGTGCCCTGCAGAGGCCCAGGGACCACAGGGAGGCTGGCCACTTGGAAGGCTGCCACCCAGGGCCATACCTGGCCTCTCTGTCCCTAAGTCCCCGTTACCCACCCACCAGCCTGCCCCAGCTCACGTCATTGGGACAGTTGACGTGGCCTTTCTCCTTGACTTCGTTCTTCCAGGTCTCCAGCAGCTGGGGGTTGAGTGTGGGGAGGCCTGGCCGAGTGTAGTTGAGCTGTGAAAACAGGCAGGCACCGAGGTGAGCCCCGGCAGCTGGGCCAGAGCTGACAGCGACACTCCCACTGCTCTAAAGAGGCCCTCAACTGTACCCTCCATAGGGAGATCTGAACCTTGGAGGTCAGCCGCTGGCCCAGGTCACAGGGGGCAGGGCCATCACAGGGGACCCCACGTGGAGGCACATCCTGCTCAGAGCCCAGTGGCTCACCCGAGCCGTCTCAGGCACCAGGTCATCTTTCATCCGCCTCTTGGTCCAATCTCGGGCCAGTTCGTCCTCTGCAATCTCCTGCAGGTGGAACACGGCAACCTGGGCCGACGTGCGGCGGATGCGGCCGCTGGGGGTCCGCTCGATACCCAACAGGTCCTCGGCCTCAGAGGGCTTGTCCTGGGGCTCCTCAGGGGGCTGCAGGGTGAGGAGGCCAAGGTGAGTAACAGGAGCCACATGGCCTGAAGGTGCGGTGAACCAGACATGTGCTGTGGGCAGGGGCACATGAGCAAGTGGGGGGGGGGGGCGGGACACGCGCACTCGCTGCCTGAAGGACAGGCGGACTGGCCACTCACCGGGGCTGTGTGCTCCGAGCGCATGTGATAGTCATGACCAGCCTTGGAGCGGTAGGTCTTGCCGCAGTGGGTGCAGGGGAAGGAGGGACTGTCTACCTCGCAGGGCGGCTTCCCACAGCGTTGCTGGTGGTACTGGTAGCCCATGAGGCTGGAAAAGGCGGCCCCACAGCCCTAGGGGTCACGGGTCAGTAAGAGGCCAGCAAAGGGCTGTGCCTCGCCCCACACTGTCCCCCCCCCCCGTAGTCCCACTGACCTCCTGGGGGCAACGCAGCCTCCCCATCTGCTTCAGCACCTTGCGCAGTCGTTCGCGCTCCTCCTGCTCACTCCCCTCGGAGGCCTCCGTGTCAGAGGGCTGGGGGGCAGGCCCAGCCTCAGTGCCTCATCCCCATAGGGCCCCTGCCCCAAACTGGAGCCACAGATGTTCATGGGCAGGCAGTGTGGGAATGAAAGGTCAGTGGGCAGGGCTGGGCAGGGTGGGTGAGATGAAGGGGAGGCCTGTGGTCAGTGTCAATGGTCAGGCTGGATGGCAGCTGGGCCCTGTGGTGTACCTTGGTGCTGTGCTCAGCCATGGTGTGGTAGTTGAGACCGGCCTTGGACTTGAACTGCTTCCGGCAGTGCTGGCACTTGAGGGCATCCTGCAGCTGCAGACAAGGGACCCATGAGAAGCTGCTCTGGGGCACCTCCCCCCAGAAGCCCCTGGGGGCAGCCTTACCTTCTGACACACCTCCATGTGCTTCTTGAGCCCCACGAGGGTCTTTCGGGTGACCACGCTGCACGTGGGGCAGACAGCCTCCCCCCGTTCATGAATGGCCCGCTGCCACTGTTCCTCAGGGCCACCTGTGGGGCAGAGCCAGGGCCTCAGGGGCTGTCTCGGGCTCCCAGATGCCCTGAACGCCAAGCACAGAGCCCAGGGTCCACACTCAGCCCCCGTCTGTGTGGTCCAGTAACCACCTCACAGTCAAGACCCCACACAGCAGCCCCCACCTGGGGTTGAGTGGGCCACGGGGGCCGGCACCTCCTTGCTGACAGTGTTGGCGGGGGCCGGCACCTTCTTTCGGACATCCTCGGGGCCAGGCCCCTCCTGCTTCTTGGCACGGTAGCCTCGGGACTTGTCTTCTGCCTTGGCCAGGCCTGTGTGCACATGTGGGGTGGCGCAGGTGTGGGCCAAGGGCCTGAGCACACCTGTGCATGAGCCCAGTCCCACCGGTGCCCGGCTGACTGGGGCCTCACCTTTGAGTCCGAAGGTTCCTGAGATGGATGGCTGCTCCCCCGTGAATTTCTTGGGTGTTTTCTGTTTCCTTCCTGACTCAGGGGAGAGAAACGAGGGCCAAGATCTGGTCAAATAACCATCGGGAGGCTGACCACTGCCCGTCCTGGCTGTTGCCACATCCCCCGCCCCGTCTTACTGTGCTTCATGCGCTCAGCTCCCTCTTCAGGCAGGGACACAGGGCCTGTGGCCCTTGGCACCTCCTTGCCCCCCAAGGGCCTGCTGCCTAGAGAAAGGGGGCCACTGCTGGGGTCTGTGCTGGGCTGGAGGGCGGAGCCCTGGCCCGTGGTGGGTGGGCCACACTCCCCGCTCTCTGACCGCGCCTGCTTGGGTGGGAGGGGGCAGGCGTCCCGGCTGTCCGCAGCCCTGTAGGGAAGGAGGTACGGAGCAGGAGGCAGGGGATCAGGGGCTCGCTGCGGGCCAGCACCCCAGGCTGCAGCCGGCGAGCACCCCCCCCCGACCTGGAAGGCACCCCCATACCTTTTTTTCCCACCGGCCCTCCCCGTGGCCCGGGGAGTTTTGTTCTCAGACTTGGCCAGCAGCACCATCTTGCAGGACGGTGTGTGTCTGCCGAGGGCCACGGGCCTGCTGACGGTCACCAGCTTACTGACCACCACGGGCCTGCTGACTGGCACGGCCTTGGTGACTGGCACAGGTTTCGTAACTGTCACAAGTTTTGTCATCGGCACCGGCTTGTTTGTGGTCACTGCCTTGGTGACGGGCACAGACTTGGTGACTGGTATGGGCTTGGTGACTGGTATGGGCTTGGTGACGGGCACAGGTCTAGTGACCGGCACAGCCTTGGTGATCGGCACGGACCTGCTGACCGTCACTGGCTTGGTGACCGGCACAGGCCTGCCGATTGTCACTGGCTTGGTGACCGGCACAGGCCTGCTGACCGTCACTGGCTTGGTGACCGGCACAGGCCTGCTGACCGTCACTGGCTTGGTGACCGGCACAGGCCTGCTGATTGTCACTGGCTTGGTGACCGGCATAGGCCTGCTGACCGTCACTGGCTTGCTGATACCGATGGGTTTGCTGACACCCACAGGCTTGCCAATAGTGACAGGTTTGCTCACTCCAATGGGCTTGCTGACCCCAACGGGCCGACTAATGGTGACTGGCCGGCTGACTGGCCCAGGCTTGGGGGCAGACAGGGGTCGATCCATGTGGTTCCAAATCCGGTGCTTCTCCAGCTGGGTCTTGGAGGTGAAGGCGGCCTCACAGAAGGGGCAGGGAAAGGTCAGCCTTTCTGAGATGGCACCCTGGGTAGAGAGGGCAGGCGTGGCATGGGCTGCCCAGGCCTCTGTGCAGACTCACCCAAGCCAGCAGCTGGGCAGGGTGGGTTCAGGCCTCTTCTTCCCCAGCCCACAGCCCCTTACCCCTTGGCACCGCTGGTAATGGTACTTGAGCCCGTAGATGCTGGGGAACTCCAGCCAGCACCCTGAGCTGGGACACTTCACCCGTGAGTGCACCTTGAATTCGTCTTTCCACTGGGTCATCAGAGAGAGCTGGCATGGGAAAGGCCAGGCTGCTGACCCTCAGCCACCCGGCCTTTGCTGACCCGAGCCCCAGACTCAGCACCCTGCCCAGGCCTGCAGGGCAGACAGACTGTAGGAGCCCTTGACCTTGGGACCGCAGCAAGATCCAGGCCACCCTGAGCAGTGAGGGTGCTCTTGAGGGCCCATGAACATGGTCCACTGGGCCCCAGGCCACGCCACGAATCCCTAGGCACAGAGTGGCCCACTGATGTGGGCTGAGGGCTTGGTGCTGGACATGTGGATGGCAAGCAAAGGCAGGGCAATGGCCTTACAGGCAGACCCCAGCATGAGCCCCACCCAGCCCTCAGGGAGCTCACGGGAATGTCTCGGAGGGCCTGGTTCTCAGCTTTCGGACGCCCCTTTTTCTTCCCTTCTGTCCTGTCGCTGGCTGGACTTCCCGGGTCAAAGCAGAGTGGGGCCTGGCTAGGCATTGTCTGCCCACCCCGGGCCACCGGCAACCCTGCAGCACACGGCACATCAAGGCTTGGAGCTGTGCTCCCTGTAGTCTTTCCTGCTATCCAGGAGCCTGGTGAGGCCTGGAGTGAGCCTCATTCCCCCCCGATGAGGCATGGGGTTGGGGATGGAAGGCTGTAGTCAGCCTAGGACAAGAATCCAGGGCCCCTGGCTGCCCCCACCCTGGGAAGGCTCTCAGGAGCCCAGGCAGCTACCTGGCACCCAGGAGCTGGACATTCGGGAGGTGGCCCACTCAGCACTGCTGCTCCCAACAGCTTGGAGCTGACCTCAGCCTGGCCCCTCTTACCCAGCTTTGGGTCGCGCCGCACAGGAAGCCGGACCTCACTCTGGCCGCCATCCTTCCCAGGCCCACTCTTGCTGGACCCCAGGAGTCGGCGGCCGCCTCCAACACAGAAAGGATCAGTCATTGCTGCAGAGCAAGTGGACAGACCTGTGAGGTCCATCAGGCCGGCTCTTGGGACTTGAAATGGCTGTCCTTGCACCCCGCCCCCCAGGCAGACCTCTCATTGGCTGCAGAAAAGGGAGCCAGCCTGCCTGTGCTCTTGGTCACAGGGAAAGCAGGTGATGGGAGGCTTCTAGTTTAGGGGAGTGACTGCCCAGCTGAGCTCTCCCAGGAGACCCTATCAGCGTGGAGGATCTAACCCCGTCCTGGGACACTCATCAGGTCCAATGGGCTCCATGCGTCCTAGACACAGTGCAGAGCTGCCGAGAGCCATGCATCTCACGCCCAGCACGGGGCTGGGTGGCCCCAGGAGAGGTAGAGTGCTCAGGCAGGAGATTAACAGCATTGCTCCTGGGGCCAATTATGACACCACATGGCTGTTGGCACACAGGCTGTGTTGGCCCGGCACCCTGGGACACCTTCCTTCACAGCCCCACCCAGACCCAAGGCAAAGCCACCCTACCCAGGCAGGTGCCCCTGGATCTTTCTCCCAGGACACAGATGGAAGATGGCCAATGCGGGCACTGAGGGCCCCTAATCCCTCCCCAACTGCGTGCGTCCCTTTCCAGAGGCAGGACCAAGGAAGGAGGTCCCTGTCCTAGTGGATCCTTCCTATGTGACCCTCTCTCTGTTTGTTCCTGATGGGGCCCCTCCACCCCGAGGGAGGCCACATGCAGGCTGGGCTCCTCGGCCATCCTCCACCTGGCTGTCCTCACCTCCACCCTCTGGAACCTCTCTGTCCCCATCTACAGGGCCACCAGCACCACTCCAGAGACTACTGGCCACCAGCCACAGGGAACACCTCGCCACGTGAGCTGGACCTGCATGGGCATGAGAACTGGAGGGACTCTGAGCTCAGTCCTACTGGGTCCTCTAATAGGGACACCCAAGGCTGCAGAAGAGGGTGGGTAGGGGGCTATGTGAACACGTGACCCCTCTCCTGGCAGTTTCTAACTAACTGAGACCAGAGAGGATGGGAAGGGAATTATAGAAGCTATCAGTAAGGTTGAGGTCAGAGGTCAGTACAGTCACTGCCCATTGCCCAGGAGGTGCCCAGATCCTGGGCCTGGAGAGGTATAGGTCTAGAAAGGTCTGAACAAACTGCTCTGAAAGGCTTCACACTGCCACTTCCACAGGAGACCTGCCACCATCAGCCACCCAAGCCCCATGATGACCTCAAGTGGCCTTTGGTGCAGGTGCCTGCTGGGACCCCCCTTCCAGTCTTTATCCAGCTTGAGAGGAAAATTCAAAGTTGGGGGGGCCTGGGGCCAGGGCTGGCGTAGGAGGCAGAGACCCTCCTTCCATCCAGGCCTGCAACTCTCACAACAGGAGAAAGGGCTTCCACCCTCCGGGAGGGCCCAGCAGGGACGGAAAGGTGGGACCTTCGCTGGGCTGTGGGGGCACCACGCGCTGACCACAGGCAGCCAGCCAGGCAACGGCAAGGCCTCTCGGCCCTGGACCCCAGCTCCGGCCCCCGCGCGCCTAAGAGGCTGGCCAGGGGATGCACACCTGGGGGCTGGCCTCGCGGCACACCTGTCACCTGCGCGGGGAGGGCCCGGCCTGGCCCCGGAAGGGCCGATCGCGGGCGCCTGGGGAGGGGGAAGGCAGTGAACCAAAATGGCGACTTTTTCTGGAGGAGGAGGAGGAGGCAGGGCCGCGGCGCCGGCGCGGGGCGCGGGGCGCGGGGCGCGGCGCGGGGCGGTGGGGGCGGCGGGCGCGGCTCGGGGCGGCGGGCGGGGGCTCGGGCGCGGCCCCCCGACCTGCGCGCGGGGTCAGGGTCGGGGGCGCGGCCAGCGCGAGGGCTGCGCGGGGTCTGGACCGGGCGCGGCCGGGCGCTTACCTGCGGCGCCCAGCGGGACGGAGGCGGGGCGGGGGCCGGGGCCGGGCGAGCGGGCGGACAGGGCGCGGGCGCGGGCGCGGGGCCGGCGGCGCGGGCGGCGCGGGCTGCGCACATGCGCGCTCCCGCCCCTCCCACCTTTGACAGCTGGGGGGCGGGACTCTCGCGGTATCCTGCGCGCGGGACGCGGCGGAGGGAGGGGGCGGACGGCTCGCGGGGCTGGAGGGGGTGTCGCGTCCGTCCGCCGGGCCTCCAGTGCCAAGTGGCCAGTTAGGCTGCCCATAGGGCGGAAGACGCTTTTTCAGACAGTGGGGTAAACCGAGGCACCCGAGGGCGCCGGGGACCGCCCAAGCCCAGTGCGCTCGGATGGAAGCCACCGGCCCTGAGAAGGTGCGGCCGCTGGGTCCTGGGAGCTGAGCTGGCCGTGGCGGCCGTGGCCTGCAGAGCAGAGTCCGGCCTCTTCCATCCAGCCTGGGGCACCTCTGCCTGTGGCCACCCTCGGGACCTGGCTCCTGGCATGTGAGGCCGTGCTTCACTGGGGCTGCTGACCATGGACTAGATGAGCCTGTCTGCTTTGGGACGGGGCGTGCCTGGACAGTGGCCACTGCCCGGCTCCTCTGTGCCCCAGAACTTGGCCCCCTGCAGGGAAGCTGGTATCAGGTGTGGGGGTGATGGACAGCAACCCCACCAGCACCAGGACGCGGGAATGAATGAAAGAGGGGAAGGAGTGCTAGTGAAAAGAAGTTACAAGGTGCACCTCCTTCCCTGAGGCCCTTCCCACCCCACCCTCACACCCGACCCCCACCCCTGTCCACCCTGGAGCAGGCTCGGCTTGCACTGCTGGGGGGCATGGCACAAAAGATGGCACATTTGAGGTCCACTTCTCACAGGGACCCTGGGGATCTGCTTCCTCAAGGCCAAGGCCTCACCATGAGGCCGAGCCCAGGTCGGGGCACTCTGTGGAAGGGTCAGTCTGTCAGTCCTTCCCTTGGAAATCAGAGCGAGGCCTGTGTGACCACAGGAAGACAGAATGTCCTCCCCTCAGTGGCCTTGCCCACCCTGGGGACGGGACACACAAGATTTTGGGAGAGGTCAGCATGCATGCCTTGAGGTATATCCAAGGCTGTCAGCTTTCCCTGTGTAAGTCTGCATGTCCTTGTATGTGATGTGTCAGTGTCACTCGGTGTGTGTCTGAGTGACCATGTATGTTGGGCAGCATCCTCTTTGGACATCAGTGTCAGGGTGTATCTGTATCTTGTACTAGGCCAGAAGATACCTGTTTGTTAGTTTCCAGGGGGCTGGACACGGGGGGGTGGAGTATGTCTGGACCTGGCAGATGTATGCTCAGGCTGCAGCATGTCTGGTTTCTGTAGGTTGGGGTCATTGTGTGTCTGAGATGCTGTGTTGGAGTGTGTTGCTATGGGTCTGGATGTTGGTGTCATTGTGTCTCTGTGTTTGTGTCTGTGTGTTCGGACTGCAGGGTTTGGTTTATGCCTCTGAGTTACTATTGATATCTGGCTGCTGCCTGCATACCTATGTCAGGGCATGTGCTATGACCCATGTTTCTTATGTCAGGGCACTGCCCTGTGGCAAACTATATGGGAGTCCCCAAAAGATAGCCACATCAAATCCCTGGAACCACCCAGCTGGTGTGGCTCAGTGGTTGTGTCGACCTATGAACCAGGAGGTCATGGTTCAGTTCCCAGTCAGGGCACATGCCTGGTAGTGGCTCAATCCCCAGTGTGGGGTGTGCAGTAGCCAGCTGATCAATGTCTCTCGTCGATATTTCTATCCCTCTCCTTTTCTCTAAAATCAATAAAAACATCTTTTTTTAAAAAAAAATCTCTGGAGCCCTGACCGGTTTGGCTCAGTGGATAGAGCGTCAGCCTGCGGACTGAAAGGTCCCAGGTTCGATTCCGGTCAAGGGCATGTACCTTGGTTGCGGGCACATCCCCAGTAGGGGGTGTGCAGGAGGCAGCTGATCAATGTTTCTCTTTCATCGATGTTTCTAACTCTCTATCCCTCTCCCTTCCTCTCTGTAAAAAATCAATATAATATTAAAAAAAAAATCTCTGGAACCTATGAATGGGACCTTATTTGGAAAAAAGGTCTTTGTAGATGTGATTAAGTTAAGGGTCTTGAGATGAGGTCATCTGGGTTATCCAGGTGGGCCCTAAATCCAGTGACAAGTGTCCTTGTCAGAGGGAGACGTGAGACCGACAGAAAGCGAAGTGACCGTGTAGTCCTGGACACAGTGGCGTGTCTCTGAGCCCAGCAATCTCAGCAGCCACCAGAGCTGGGAAGGGGCCCCCCAGCCCTGCGGGTCTCAGACCATGGCCTGCAGAACTGGGAGGGAATCGGTTTCTGTGGCGTGAAGTCTCCCAGCTGCCATTTGTACAGCAGCCCCAGGAGCCTAGCTCACCTGTGCTGGTGTGTCCAGGTGCAGTACTGGGTGGAAGCCCAGCCTCTGCTCTTGCTCCACCCCCTCGTTCCTGGGATAAACAGGTGCCTGCCAGGTTGCCACACCACTGCCACCTGGTGGCCATGGCAGGAGGCAGCTGGGCCGGGGAAACCCCTGCTCTGGCTCAGGGCTGCCCCACCCCACAAGGCAGCTGACTGGACACCACACTGGGGCACTTGAGAACCAGGTTTATTTCTGGTCTTTTTATCAGAATATAAAAAAGTGAACGCAAAACAAGAAAGACAAGACGAGCTTGGAGGGCAAGACAAAGGAGGGAGAAGGGGGCAGAGATGGGAGGGCCCTCTGGAAAGGGCGACATTGCAATGACACAAAGTGGGGGACACTCAGAGCAGCCAGACAGGACAGGGGACTTTCCATGGGGGGCTGGGCACCAGGCCAGTTATCCAGATTCCACGTGGGACCTGAAACCAGCTCAGGGCACAGAGCAGGCTGGGGGCTCAGCCTCGTCTGCCGGAGGGTCTGAGTCCCCCAGAGGAGCGGCGAGCAGGGACCAGGAGGCAGGAGGCTCAGGACTGCCTGGCTGACCCTCTGCCGGCAGCCCCGCCCACCGCGGCCCTCTGGGAGTGCTTGTCACCACCGGCTGGGTCTCCAGTGGGCAGCATGGGATGTCTCTTATGAGAATCCAGGTTTTCCCTGGAAAGGGACAGTGGGAATGCCCGCCCATCACTGTGCCTTCAGGGTGGCGCCATGAGCCTGAGAGGAGGGAAGCTTTCCCAAATCTAAGGCCAGGATCGGGCCGCCCGTGCTGGTGTGGGTCCCTCCCTCTCATGCCACCTGCCCGTTCTGGTGTGGGTCCCTATCGTGCCCTGAGTCTGTGCCTCCTGGCTCCTGGGCAATCCTGAACCTCCCTCTCCTCAGTTCCCATGAGTAGATGCAGGCGTGTGAGGGTCTCATAAATAATGAGTGAAGGTGCTGGGCAGGGTGCCTGGCCGGTGGCCACTGATGACCATAACCTGGACAGCAGGGTGGGCCTGCTGGGCCTGGGCAAGGGCAGGGAGTGGGCACATAGTACACAGAGCCTGGCAGTGTATCCCGCCTCTGTGGGTAGTCCTCCAGGTGCTGGGAGGGTGTGGAACTGGACGAGTGGCAGACAGCTCTCTTGTCCTGGGAGAGGACAGGATGCCCAGAGGATGTGAGTGAAGGAATATAAATAAACACTCCCTGGGAGTCTGGGGAAACATCCAAACCCCGCTCTGGCTCCAGGTGGTTGCCCCAAATGCTGCCAGCAGCACCAGGGCTTGGGCTTGGGTCCAGGTCCTGGGAGGTGAGCATATACTCAGGAAGCCCCCACCTGCCCAATCCCAGACATAGCCCACAGTGCACAACCAGAGGTGGCTGAGGTGACAATCCTGGTCCCACCTTCCTTTGGGCCAGGCTTGGCCCTTGGGGACTCCTGGAGGTCCGAGAAGGGCTGTGCCTCATCTTTGCCATGGGCTCTGGTCACAGTGCTGGGGTCTGGGGTTCAAGCCTCGGGCAGCAACTAGGACATGTGTCCGAAGGAAGCTATGGGTGGATGGGTAAGGAGGAATGGGGGCCGCTGGCGTTGTCCACACCACCGTGGGTGTAGGAGAGCCCTTACTGGGCTCCCATGGCCACGCTCCTGAGGTCCACCCACCCTCCCTGCACGCAAGAGTGGGGGACTTGCAACCCAATCCCCCAGACCTCTCTAAGCCTCTCGGGCATTCTTGGCTCCTCCCACTGACCTTGGCTGAGCAGCTGCAGGCTCCGCCCCTCCTCGCGCACCTGTAGGCGCAGCACCTGCTGCAGCACCTCCTGCCTTTGGGCCTCCTGTGCCAGTCCCATCCGCTGCAGCTTCTCCGCATTCAACCGAAGCAGTGCCCGGCCTGGAGGGATGGGGAAAGGGATCGAGCCCAGGTCAATGTCCTGTGGAGATCAGGAGCAAAGGCAGAGAAAGAGAAGTGGGGAGGGGAGGCACAGACTCAAAGACAGGGAGAAGGAGAAACAGAGAGAAAGAGAAGGGGGTTGAGAGAGAGAGAGAGAGAGAAAGGTGGCGGGGGACAGAGACAGGTCAATTCAGAGAGACAGGGAAAGAGAGGGAGAGACAAGGATGGATAGAGACTTTGCAGAGAAAAGCCAGATGAAGAGACTGGGAGAGACAATGAGAGATTCTGCAGACACACAGGCCTGAAGGAGAGGCGGAGTCAGGAGAAGACAGAAAGGAAAGGGTAGCAAGAGAAAACAGGCTCTCTTGGGATACAGTCCCTCACCGGTGATGGCGTGCTGGGAGAAGGCCTCCACGTAGACGAGGTAGTTGTGGGGACAGTGCTTCTTGAGCCACTTGCAGACATCCTGCTGACTCCACAGGACCACAGGCCTCGTCAGGCCACCCAGTGAGGGGCTCGTGTGGTACAGGCCACAGTGGTCAGAGTACAGCCGGCCCTGTGGGGGAGAGGGCAGCAGATGCAGTGCAGTGGTGGGGAGGGCCGGGGCTGAATGGGAATGATAGCTGGGTACCTGGGGGGCCTCTGTGCCAGGCTGCTGCAGGAGCTTGACTGGCCGGCCACCAGCTGCCCTCTGGCTTCGTGAGTCATGCCAGGTGAGGCTGGTGCCTGGAGTCCTAGGCAAGTGGCAGGGGATGCTCTCAGCTGACATTGTGTGCTCCAGGAGGGTCCGGCAGAAGCTGAAGTGGGCAGTGGCTGTGGAGCAGGGCATTGGTCAGAGTGGTCAGGGGCAAAGCCAGTGGCTCCTGTCCTTGCTCAGCCCAACTCCCCTCCACTGAGGAAGTGGCCACTTTCCCAACTAGGGGTCCCCAAGCTCCTAACGGCAGGAGGGAGCACCGTGAGCTGTCCTGAGAACCCCACCTCGCTCAAAGATGAAGGACAAACAAGTCCAACCCCCTTGCTCTGGGGAGCAGGACCAATTCTGCTGAGATTAGAGAGAAGATATGCCCACCAAGGAGCCCAAGACTGACAGCCAGTAGGGCTGCCCTGGGACAGCCTGACCTCACCCTTGCCTCGGCACCAGCCACACCAAGCCAGGGCACACACATAGGGCCTGCCTGCGACACGCTGTGCGGTGGGGGGCCCTCGGGTGGCCTGCCTGCCCATCCTCATGGGCTGAACCCCAGCTCTGCACCTGGAGTTGAAGCTTTGCCCTGCCCAGCGGTGCTCACTAGGAGTGGCTCATTGGCAAGAAGCCTGAACTCGGGCAGCCAACACCCAGGATTCCTGCTCCCACCTCCCATGGCCCTGGCCCAGGATGGTTTCTGTGCATGGCAGCTGCCTAGCTGGCATGGGCTGCTCAGTACAGGGTGCAGGTGCAACTTTGCTCAGGACCCTTGGAGATGTCTTTCCCACAATAAATTTATTACACCTGTCAACTCTTAGTTTTACCATAATTTCTGGGCTTGCTGCTGACATGAGATGGGGGAGGGCAGACACCTGGACAGGCCCCTCCCAAGGACTTGCACAGGCCCTGGCACACAGGAGATGCCCAGAAACATTGTGAATGAATGAATGAATGAATGGAGGGAGGGAGGGAGAGAGGGAGGGAGGAAGGCTCTGGGTAATGTCCACAAGTCAACAGGCCCTGGGGCGCGGCAGAAAGCTGGGCCCAGGCTTGCCCTTCTTTACAGCATCCCGACTCTGACTCAGCAGGCACGATCAGGTTCCCGAGACCTCCCCGCCAGAGACCTTCCCTCCACCCCATGGAGGGGAGGGTTTGGCCGCGTGCCCAGGTCTCAGTAAGGGGGGGGTGTGGTGCGGGGAGACCGCATCTTCCTCCTCCTCCTTCCACCCCATTCCATTCACCGGCCTTAGCCCCTCTTCCTCCTCCTCCTCGCCCCCTCTGTTCTCAGATGGCCCTGGGGGACTCTAAACTTGAGGTCTAGGGTCAGCCTGTGTGGCCAGCGTGGCCGCCGCCTCGAGGAGCGCCGTGGGAAAGGACTTATTCTAAGCCGGCACCTTCTGGGGACCAGGCGCCAGGGCGGCCGGCCTGGGCGAGAGCGCGCGGCCCGGGGCAAACCAGTCCGGCGCGTGCGTCCGCCGGCGCCGCACCTGTCCGAGGCCAGCCGGGTCCCACCCATTTCCGGACCGCGCTCCAGGTGGGGTCTCCGTCCACACGTCTGTCCTTCTCTCCTTCCAGCCCAACGCCTTAATTCCACAGAAGATGGGGCGGGGAGGGAGCGCCCGAGCCGGGCTGTGGCCTTGGCCCCAATGCAAAGGGCTGGGGAGGGGGGTGTGTGTGTGTTTTACCCGCCCCCCGAGAGAAGAAAAAGGGGACCTCACGGTGATGCCAGCCTAGGGACAGGAACCGAGAGCGGTCACCTCCCCCAAAGGCCTGAGGCCGCCGCACCCTCATCCCCAGCGCAGGACAAAGACACTAGGAATCCCGTTCAGCAAGGGCGAGCCCCCCCACCCCCCGACTCCGCCTGCCGCCGCCGCCGCCGCCGCCCCCTCGGTCCCCAAGCCCCCAGCCCGCGAGGTCCCCGGTCCAGCCGCGCTCACCGTCCACATCCCGGCGCTCTCCGAATCCCGCGCGCACAGCCCCGGCGCGGCCTCGCGGGGGGCTCAGCTGGGTGCTCAGCTCCGTGAACATGGGGCCCGCGCACACGCCCCTCGCCGGGCGCAGGGCGGCCGTGTGGCCGGCGGGGAACGTGCGCCACCGCCCCGCCCCGGCCCCTGCCCGCACGGGTCCCCGCGTCCGGGAGTCTGCGCGGCGAGGCACCTGCCGCTGAGCCCGGGCGCCGGGCGCGCTCCGGAAGCTCGGAGGTGTGTCGGCGGCGCGCGGTCTGCGATGCAAATGTAGGTGTCGGCCAGGGCGAGGGGGGCCTGCGCCCGGCGGCTCGGGGCCGGGCGTCCGCACACCTCCGTCCCCTGTGTGTGCCCGGCAGGAGGGGTCGTACCTGCTCCCGGGACCTTCTGCCCCTGAGCTCAGGTCAAAGGCCAGACCAACCACGTCCCTCCATTCTCCTATCTCAGGTGACTCCTTTAACTTACCCCTTAATTGACACATTTTCCAGAGTTTCCCATCGGCCTCTCCCTCGAGTGGGCACTTGTTTCCCAGGAGAAGTCCGTTCGACCCCCTCTTGCCCCCCACCACACTGTGAACCCCAGGACCGCAAGGGTCTGACTCAGTGCCCAAGGCTTGGCCCTAAAAGGGCCGGGCCGGGCGGGCGGCGCAGGGAGGAACCCCAAGGAGGCTGCAGAGGCAGGAGGCGTGTGCTTGCGCCAAAGCAGGGAGAAGGCCCGCTTTCTTTCCTTCTGTTCATCCTCCCTGAGGGTGTTTTCCATGGACTTTTAGAGAGTGGAAGGGAGGGAAAGAGAGAGATGGATGTGCGAGAGACGCCTGGATTGGTCCCGGAGAATGCAGCCTACAACCGAGGAATCGAACCAGGACCCTCAGCCTGCCATCCACGGAGCCGACTGGCCAGGGCACAAGGTCAGACTTCCGGCTGGAGCTCTGCCTGCTGTGCCCGGCGCCCGAGTGCCCTCCCAGGTCCGTGCGAGGCGAGCCCAGGTGCCGTGGACTGTGCAGAGTGCAGTCGTGCATGTCCACCTAACGCTGAGCAGTGACGCCCTACCTGTCCCCAGCTCAGCCACGCCGCAGCAGAGGTGTGCCTGGGACTCACCCTCCCACATGCCGACCAGCTCCCAACCTCTGCGCTGCATTCATCTGCTTCCCCCATCAGCTCCCAGAGCTGGGCTCCTGCCCTCCCAGGAATGGCTGGGGCCCCATGGGCGGCGAGCCGAAGAGGGGTCTGTGTCCGCATCGGAACGCTGAGAGCTGGGGCAGCCCTGACACAGGAGCACACGCAGGCAGGGGTGCCCCCGCCCCCCCGCCCCCCGCAGAAGCTCAGGTGTGTTCGGGCCGGCCGGGGCCGGCGACTCTGAAGAGCAAGCAGGGTGAGCGGCCGGGCCGGTGCGGGCAGGTCTCCCGGGGAAGCGTGGGGAACACGCAGGAAGCTGGGGTGCCGCTTGGTTTCCAGGTCCCGAAGCGATGGTCCAGGGTGTTGTCGTCTCGGCTGGGCGGTCGGCCCGCCGCGCCACTTGAGGCGCTCCTGCTCAAGCGCCCGCCTCACCTCCGTCCCCTAGCCGCGACCGGAAGTGCGTTTCCGGACTTCCGCCCCGGGAACCCCGAGGTGGGCGGGGCTTCTTGCGTACCGCGCGCTCTGTTTCCGGGGCGCGGGTGACGCGGAGCCCGCAACTTCTTCCTGCGGCGCAGCTTCGGACGCCTGCGGTCCTTCGCCTGCGGCTGAGGTTTCCGTCCCTTCTCTTCCCAGCCCTCATCGGCGGCGGCGCCATGAACAAGAAGAAGAAGCCGTTCCTGGGCATGCCCGCGCCGCTCGGCTACGTGCCGGGGCTGGGCCGAGGGTGAGCCGTGGGGCGGGCTGCGCGGGCCTGGCCGGGTCCCGGCGCTGGGGGAAGGGGCAGGGGTTCGGGGCGAGACCGTGCGAACTACCGGACTGAAACAATCAGTGAGGATCTGCGGCCACCGAGTCTGGAAGATGCGAGGCCATTTGGCTCAGTGTTTGTAGGGAGGATCGTCCTTCGGGGAGAGGACAGGCCCCAGGATGAGTTCTACGTGCTGCCCAGGCGCGGGGGACTGGGCTTCACCACGCGGCCGCCCGAGCCGGTGGTTAGGGCTCTGCGGCGGGGGCGGCGTGCCCTCGCCGTCAGGTGCACTCCCGCCGTGTCCCGCGGCTCGGGCCTTGCCCCGAGATCTGGGAGAGCCCGTGGCGGCTCGCAGTGCCTCCGTGGCCTCGTCCTGCTCGCTCAAACTCAGCTCTCCAGGAGCAGGGGCGGCATCCGGGAGTCTTGCGACTGGGTCCCCGTCACACAGACGACTGCCGGACCTTGTTGAATAAATGAGCAGTCGTTGTCCTGTTTGCTGATTGATTTGGTTAGGAAAACTGGGTTTCTCTCCTTGGTATTGTGTTAGAATCTGTGGGGTACGTATAAGCCTCATATTTGACAGTGCCTTCAGACGACCTGTAGTTGGCTAGGAGAGTTGGGGCAAATGCATAAATAAATTCATAAAGGGTAACAGATTTAGAACTCTGGGGTCCAGAGGCCAGGGGACGCTTCATGGAGTGGTCGCATTTGAGCCAGGTTTAGAAGGACAGCTGGATTTAGGGCTGCAGAAATGTGGCAGGGTTATAGGAGAAATTGACATTTTGTGTGGTCGGCAATTAAGGAAACAGATGAGGCAGGTGAGGGAATAGATAGCAAGGAGTCTGAGCAGAACCTGTGGTGATGGCAGCGGGGCCCCTGGAGGCACTGGGGAAGGAGAGCTGCGGTGGGCTGGGGGGCTCACTTGGTTCCCAGCTGTTGGGAGTCATGGTCTGGGAAGGAAGGGTTGGGAGGTGGACTCAGTGCAGCGTGGGGACAGATGGGATGGAGAAGGACTGAGGGAGGCAAAGCTGATACCAGGGGGTGTCTGCCTTCATGCCAGGATGGCTGTCATCAGCTGAAACAGCCCAGAGTAGTCGCCAGTCGGGTTTGGGGGCCCGGTTGGATGGGAGATTGTTGGGCATGAGGCTTGGGGCTGGAAGGAGGGCAGCCTCATGCCCTGGGGATTCTCTTCTAAGGAGGATGTGGTGGCAAAAGCAAGTCTGAGTAACCTCAGGGTGGGTGGAAGGCTTTCTGCCACCAGCGTCTGGAGGTGTTAGGAAAAGTGACGAGTGTGGCGGGAAGAGCACAGGAACAAGGTAGAGGGGTGTCTTGGGGTCTTCTGCAGTGCCACTGGCTTCACCACCCGGTCCGACATCGGGCCTGCCCGGGATGCCAACGATCCTGTGGATGACCGCCATGCGCCGCCGGGCAAGAGGACCGTCGGGGACCAGATGAAGAAGAGCCAGGCTGCGGATGATGACGATGAGGATCTGAATGACACCAACTACGACGAGGTGACTTGTGGGCTCCCGGCCAGTCTCCAGGCCCTGAGCAGCTTCTGAACCCTGTGTGCTGTTGGCATCTGTGGTGGGTGGCTTGATGGGGCTGGTGCATGTACTTTTTCATCTATTCGTGGGGTTTCTGTAGTGGAGTGAGGGGAGCAGGACAAATACAAAGATTTGCTACCTCTTCAAATCTGTCCTGGCCTAGTTGGTTGAGTGTCGTCCTGTGCACCAAAAGGTCGAAAGTTTGATTCCCACATGCCCCAGTTTTGGGCTCGCTCCCAAGTGGGGGGTGTGAGAGAGGTGGCCAATTGATGTTCCTCTCTCTCTTCCTCTCCCTTCCTCTCTCTCTCAAATCAATAAAAACTTTTTTTTTTTAAAGAGACATGTTCTTGTAGCTGTTACAACCATTGCATTGGTGTTTTGTCTTGGCCAGTGAAGTTTTTTTCTCTCTCAAATTATAAAAGCAAGTTTATTTAGAAAGTTACAGAGGAGCATTTGAGATCTTGCTCCCTGACATATGTCTTCAGTTTAATTAAAATAAACTCATAAAAATAAAAAAGTTACAGAGGTAATAGAAGTGAGCCAGCTGGGCTGTGTAGACTCGGGAAACAAGTGACAGAAGCAGAAGGAGGGCCCTTGGAATTTAGGAAAGTTCACTCGAAAAGAAGACTGGAGTGGACGTGCTCTGGGGGAAAGAGAGCACTCAAGCCAGTGAAAATTTAAAGATCAAAATGTAAAGTGGAATTTGTGATATTTGCTTTCTTTTGCTTTAATGTTCACCCTCCTTGTTAAATGTTTGTGTTTTATAATTTCAGAGAGAGGAAGTGAGAGGGAGAGATAGAAACAGCAACGATGAGAGCGAATCATTGATTGGCTGCCTCCTGCATGCCCCCTCCTGGGGATTGAGCTCGCAAACTGGGCATGTACCCTGGCTAGGAATCAAACCGTGACCTCTTGGTTCATGGGTTGATGCTCAACCACTGAGCCACACCAGCTGGGCCACCCTCTTTGTTAATTGGCATTTAGTCCATTGAAGTTTTCTTCAGATATGTTCTAACAGATAGCATTTTTCCTCAGAGGAAAAGCTTTCTAAAATTAGTTCAGAAATAATTTTAAATTCCCAGGGAACTTGCAAGAATAATGGGGAGAATTCCTGGGTACCCTTCACAGGCTTCTCCTCATCTTCCGTGATCTTAGTAGCTATCGCACCAGCAAATCGAATAACACAGCACTCTTAGCTGATCTACAAGTGCTATTGGAATCCCAGTTTCCCATCTGTGTCCTCTGGCCCAGGACCCGTCCAGACCCCTCATACATTGGCTGCTCAGTCTCCTCCATCTTCTCTGCCCTGACAGCTGCTTTGCTGCTCCTCAGGTTGGGTTTCTCTGGTGCAGAATGTTGTGTAGCATTTGCACAGGAAGCGCTCTGTTCCTGCTGGTGGGGATTGTGTGGGGGGAGAAGCTGACGCTCCAGGGATGTGTTTGGTTCCCAGTTTAATGGCTATGCAGGGAGCCTCTTCTCAAGTGGGCCCTATGAAAAGGACGACGAGGAAGCGGATGCTATTTATGCAGCTCTGGACAAAAGGATGGACGAAAGAAGAAAAGAAAGAAGGTAAAACCAGTTACTGCCCTTCACTGCCTTTTATGCAACTAAAAAAAAAACTTTTGTTTTGCCTTGGTTTAGACTTGGAGAAAAGTTGCAAGAATAGTTTGTGTGTCTGCTCAGCTTTGAGGCCCCTGGGTCTTGCCTATGGTGGCAGCACCTGGGTAAACGCTGGGCTGTTGGACAGGAGCTGCAGGGCTGGGGGCTGCAGTGGAGAGCTTACGAACTCCGTGCTGGCTTCCAGAACCTGGCAGCGTTTGGGGGACTATCCTGACTACACATCAGGGTTACTGTCTTTGGGATAGGTGTAGTGATGTTGACTAATATATGTTGAGTTATCATTGTAAGTTCTCTATATTTTTTATTTTAAAAATGTATTCTGCCTGGTCGGTATGGCTCAGTGGTTGAGCATGGACCCAGAAACCAAGAGGTCACCAGTTCAACTTCTGGTCAGGGCACATGCCTGGGTTACAGGTCGATTGCCAGTG